GTCAGCAACGTCTCGGCTTAAATCTCCAATCAGATACCGAATTTTTGCACCACGTTTACCTACCTATCGTGAGCAATGTTTAGCCTTTGTTTTTCTTTGGTTGGTTACATTGTTTACGATAATGGCTCGGACCTACATACTTTGCGTCCTTCTTTTCACTTCGACTTTAACTGTACACTGACTGCAATGTTCTTACTTTATTTCCGAGATGTGCTACTTTCTGGATTCATATTGTATTGCTACGACTTTTTAATATTGTACTTGTTTCGACTACTGCGGAGCTTGAGGTGAGCTTTCTCTTTAATCCTCTCTTTTAACGATAAACATACAGTTCTTTACTCCTTTCTTTTAACGATAAACATACAGTTCTTTATTCGATTTTAGTGAAATGTCCATCATGATCGGGTTTACTTGCTCGCTTTTCACGACATTTCTTCAGGAAGAGAGGTTGCTGCTTCGATCCCCGCAGGAATAGATTCATTCTTTTGTTAATAAATGCTGAAGATGGCTCAAAGGACGAGCCGAAACGTTCGTTTCATGTAAATACACGTCTTAACTTTATTGCGCACCATGTTCCGCGCTTGACTCGCATCGCCGTTTTTATTGTTGACATTTCCACGAGTTTTAATACTTTATTAATAGTTTAAGATTGTCGAAAGAAACTACTTTACGGCCTCAAAAACATATTTTATTTATTGCACACGTGCACTCAATACCCAGGCCGCAGGCGTTCTGAGACACGTTATAGCTTGTTCAGCTTCAAGTCCGTTAACCAACAGACACATGCGCATCTATGCCTATAACTATAGATATTTAAGTTGTTACTTTCGCCCCGCGTTACTTTTGACCCCGTTCTACCCTTCCATTATTTTTTATATAAGTATTTCAGACTTTATTGTCGAGTCCTGTACACGTGGTGCGACAGCTGACGGTCATTTTGCTACATTTTAACATAAATACTGTTTAAAAAAAAATAAACTAGCCATGCTGAAATTAGACAAAAATTAGTGTCGCTGCCTCCCGGACTATTAGGGTGAAAGACCCAATTACTGACAGTGTCCATATTACTGTCAATCAAAATTAAAATACTTTTTAAAATATGAAAACTATATCTTATGTTATTTTATTAATTTTTAATAAAATCTTCAAGAAATCTGGTTATTATTATAACAATAAACTGAAACTAAAAGTCAATCCACTAATTTAAAAAAAAACTTAAAATCCGAGAAACTCATTATTTTGCTGAGTTACGTCCATTTTTATTAATAGAGTCGATGTAAGTAGCTGCAAAAATTATTGATTATAGGCAAAATTTGAACAGTAAATTTCACGGTAACACATTTTTCTGATAAAATAATATTAAAATTAAAGAAAAAAAAATATATAGAATAAATTATTAATTTTTATAATATAATTATTCATGTCAGTAATATGTTCACTTTTTCATGTTTTTCCTAATATATAGTGTCAACAGTATTATGGACATAAATCATAAAATGAACATAATACTGGCAGCTTGGTGAGTGACAGAATAACCTCTAAACTTATGTCGACTTTGTTTTGATGAATAAGAGCCACGGAAGTAGAAGATCGTGATAAGAGCGTAAACACGGATCATCGGAATACCTATCATTCGCTCACATATTCGATACCTATTATTCTTTTAAAAATTGCTTGACACACCTGTTAATGCATTACATGTAAGTAAATTTATTGTAATGTAAGTAAAATTATTATTTAATTACTCCTAACCTAACCTAACCTAACATATTAAATTTATTTATGACTTTTGCTTGTAGTGTTAATATAATTAAGAAAAAATAAAGATGAATAAACAAAAAAGATATTTGTACAGCACAAATAGTCTAAAAGAAGCATTATCTGCAATAAATGCAGGCATGAGCGTAAATGCTGCCAGTAAGAAATTTAATATTCCTCGCTCAACCTAGGATGCAAAGAAGAAAAAATTATATGCAGAAAAGAACCTGGACCATCAACAATTCTTTCAAGTGAAGAAGAACAAACACTAGTTGATTGGATTTTTTATTTAAGTCGTAGAGGCTTTTCAGTCACTAAAAATTAACTATTAGACAATGTGCAAGTGCTTATTAAATCTCTGCAAAGGAAAAATCCATTCGTCAATGATCGTCCTGGACGTCATTGGTACCAAGGCTTCTTGCAACGACATGAAAAACTTGCAGAAAGAATGGCTGAAAAACTGCCAGTAATGTGTTCATCTGGTTGCCAGATTTAGGAACATAAAATTTAGAGGTTGCCAGTATTAGGTGCAATTGAGTTTGGTCATTATTATATTAATTAAAAATTAAGAATCAATTTTATTTAAACTTTCTAATTTTATTTATAAAGTTTGTAATTGGAACAATCAAAAAAAAAAATATTTTAAAAAGATAAAGTGTTAGAGACGCGAAGTAAATGTTATCGAGCCGGTAGCGCGATATGTATCGACGCGTATCTTTGGGCTGTTGACGTCTGTAACCTTGCCCTACAGTTCCTCGCAATATGGCCCATTCTATCACAACGAAAACATTTCGGTCCTTGTCTCGCACTTGTTTCGCCTTCGGTTTTGACATTCCTTGAGTCTCCGCGAGTATCTTGAGGCACGCGCGGATAACGTGACCTCTTCGCATACATAGCATTTTGCTCCGAATTTTCGTTTGCCCTTCGCGATTCGAATTCCTCTAGAATCTTCACTCTCAACGTTTCTGGATCTGGCAATTCATCTCGTGTCTCGATGGCACACCGAAAATTTTGAAAAGATTCTGGCAAACTGTACAACAATAAAATTGCCAGTACCTCTTTGTTTATTACCAAATTAATCTCTTTCAATTTTTCCACCGCTTCAAAAAATTCCGTTAAATGTGTACGTGGATTGTCGCCTTTCTTCAGTCTTGACAGGATAATTCTCTTCAAGAGCGTCGCTTTTCGCGCTGGTCCTTTGGATTGGAACGTTGATTCAATTTTCAGCCAGATTTCTCTTGACGACGTGCACCCACGAATTAAATTCAACTCCGAAGGACTAATTGACAATATGATGTCGGCCTCTGCTTTGGCGTCCTTATCAATCCATGCTCGAATTGCCTCGTCTCCGCTCGACGGTTTCACTATCGTTCCGCTCACGTAGCCCCAAACATCGTTTTTCACTAGTATCGCCTTCATCTGTAACTTCCACGTATCATAATTGTCCGCGTTTAGCGGCTCAATTCTTACGATTGACGACATTTCTCTGGTTTTTCACTCGCGGACTTTATATTGTTCATCTGCCTGGGCCCATAACCTGATGGGGAAATATAACTGACGCAGTGAGATATAATGCAACTAACAATTTATTCCAATGAGATTACAAAGAGAAGGATCGACTACTCGCGACGTTCCAACCGTATGTGTCTCGCGTGACAACTTATTCGAGACTGACTTCGACATACACGAATTCCGTGACAAGGTTACAGGCGTCAACAGCCCAAAGATACGCGTCGATACATATCGCGCTACCGGCTCGATAACATTTACTTCGCGTCTCTAACATAAAGTATCATTGCTTGTATATATATATATTAAATCAAATGTTACTGAATGCTTAATATGCCAGTAATTGGGTCTTTCACCCTAGTTAGACCTTGGGTGGCGTTGTTAAGATCATATCGAGGTAACATTAATTTTTTTAAATTAAAACCCATATTTTTTATTGTATATGCTTGTAGCCTTTGTCGAGACGTTTTCAAAACACTATAATAAAGCTCTCTGTCGTTAAGAATTTCCCGAGATATTTTAAATTTTGTCATGATATTTTTAATATGAAATATAAAATATCTCGTAAAGCATTCACTTTTTAATGACTTTACCTGGATACTTTTATACGTAGAATAATAAAAGAAATCGAATAATATTAATTTTTACGTTTGCAAATTTGCCAAATTAAATACCTCTACGAAATACAATCAAATTTTTTTAAATCGATTAAAGGGAAAGAGGCAGTAAGAGCCGGCGCGGTAAATAGGGCGCAAGTTATATATATTTCTTTATCGTCAATACATAAAAAAATTCGCGAACGTTTCGACCATTTTTTGTGGTCATCTTCAGCGCAATGTGTAAATTCAAACTCTATTGTAACGCGGTCATTAGGCTATTGTATACTCGCACGTCGCACGTTCCTTTTTTCCATGCGGTCATTCCGGCGTGTGTGCGCTACTCCACAGGCAAGCAACCTTGAATCCCTCCCAAGTTAGAAGGCCAGGAGGACCATGTTGCATTTGGTACTTCATTATGAGTACGTTTACACGACTTCTAACTTCGACTTAGTAACGCTGATGTTATAACTCCTACTTAAGGTGAGTTGCGTTTACACGTTCAGGCTTATCTTACTCCCACCAAGCTGAAATAACTTAATAACTTTCGAGTGAGATTTCTATTGGTACCAATATAAAATTACTAAAAATTTGATGCTTGCTTGTCGTAGGGTTAGGGTCTGAAAAAATGTAAATAAGTCAACAAACAAAGTAGACTTTTAGGTTACATTATAAATTTGAAAATCATTAAATATTTATTTGTCAAGTAAAATGTAATATATAACTAACAAGAAATTAAAATTTTAGGTTAATTGTTATCAATATTGGAAATAATTGGGGAGAACATGGAAAGCGTTTGCTCGTTTGTTGCCGTATACTTGACAACTGTGGAAAACATGGTCATGCAATGTACATTACATATCCAAAAAATTTTGATCAAACGGCGAAGGCGTCTAAAAAAAATTCTATTACTAACACTTGTTGAATTCAACGCCACCAAATAATTTGCTTGATCTCGGACTATTGGAAATATAATCAGGGACGACTTGAAATGTGGTGAGATGGGCAGGGTACACAACAATCTTAATCTTTATACACTCTGAATACTGTCTTTATTATATATAAGTATATCACACTCCGTAACCAACACGTCTGAACACAACGGTGGCCGAGGCTCTTGTGAGCACCACTGATGCCCGCACGCACGCGTGGCGCGCCAAGTCGCGCCGCCAACCGGAAGCTGCCCTCTAGAAGGGCGGGAACTTATTGCTCGTTCAAAGTCTTCTCCCAACACTCCCTCCCTTTGTGCGAGCGATCCACGGGTCCTCTCTAAGTTTCCTCTTTATCTGAAACATAACAAGAATTAGTTATCGAATAAAATTAATCTCTAACTTTGTTTAAACTTTATATTCATTATTTTATCTCTCAGATACGCAAATGCTTCCAGAGGTAAAGGTTTTGTCACAATGTCTGCCAAATTCTTTTTGGTCTTAATCCATTCGACTTTTACCTTCCCTTAATCAACACACTGCTTGATAAAATCTCCATGAGTGTCATCCATATGTTTTCTGTTTTCAGTTTCTTCTCTTTCTTCTAAGTTTTTCTTTATTTCCTCTAAGTCGTCATCAAACATTTTAAGTTTGTGACTTCTATCCTTCTTAGTGCAGTTTCTTGCTGCTCTGTTGTCATGACTCTATAAATTTTCTCGTGCTTGGATACCAGAGTATATAGTATATATCCAGTGTCAGTATATCCCACCAACACACCAATAGCTGTCTTGTCGAATTTCGACGTAGGCTTTGGTACTCTTGCATATCCAACGCATCCGAATTTCTTTATTTGTTCAAAATGACAACTTGTTTCTGATGAAAACTTCTTCAACGGGATCTCGTACTCTAAAGTCTTATGTAGAGATCTGTTGTACGCATGCACAGCAGCGTCAACTGTCAACTCCCACATACTCTTTAGTAATCCCGAGTCAAGCATATATGTTCTTACTTTCTCTTTCAACGTTCTGTTGAACCTTTCTGCAACTTCCTTGTCTTGATCTGACTTTGCATAGCATAGCTTTTCTTCTTTTCCTAGTAGATTTCTGGCGGATATAAGATATTTCTCTAGAGCCTTTCCCGATTCATCTTTTGTCCTCAGAGAGTAGGCTTTTGCTAATCTAGAATAGTCATCTATAAAAGTGATTATAAACCTCTTTTGTCCTGGATAGGATGTAGGTTTTATTGGACCTATGATGTCCGTATGTATTACCTGTAGTGGTCTCTGTGCTCTATTTCTGTTTTCTTTAAACGACAGTTTTGCCATCTTTGCCATTATACATACTTCACACTCTAATATGGAGTTATCAAACTTTACATTCTCTAATCTCTTTTCTACTTTTTGTAATTGTTTTAGATAGTTTAACGATGCATGACCTAATCTAACATGCCATAACATCACCTCATTTATTTTCTCTAGTTTCTTTACTTTTTCAATTACTGAGCTTTCACACATTTCTTCTATATTCTCTATTGTCTGTATATCCTCCAACTTAATGACTTGCTCGAGTTCAGCATTGTTGTGTTCTATATTTTTGTTTTCGTTCACATTTGTGAGCTCTCCTTCATTCTCCCTCCCAATCGCAGAGCCAACATTATCCTTCTCATCTAACTCTCCCTCCGAAATTGATAATTCATTGGTCTGAATGTTTGCTTGCGATTGTTCAGGAAGCTCACTATGTGGAACAATTTCTGCTCCACATCTGTAAATTCTTTTAAAAACTATTTTATTTGTCAGTTTATTGTAAACTTTAAACACTTTATCATCTAAATAAATACTGAACCCTGCATCAGCCAACTTTCTTAGACATAGTAAATTTTTGGATACTTTCTTTGCTGCAATTACATTTGTTAATTTAATGACTCTTTTTTTCTTTTTCATTCGTTATTAGCGTAAGATCTTCTTTACCATCTATTGAAATGTTTGCAAGCTCATTTTTATTCCCGCATTTAATAACTCTATCTTTACATTTTTCAAACTTTGACAGAATAAAATTCTTATTCACAATATGATCCGTATAGCACCCAAATCTGCAGTAAAATTGACTACCTCTTTTGAACTATCTCTATCTTCTATTAATTTAACCATGTATTATTTACCTTCTTCTGATTCTCCTTCATTTGCTGTTTTCGTTGATATAGGTTTTTCAGCTGGTTGTATCTTGGTTATTTTCCCTTTGTTATCTACTCTTTTTGTGCCTTTTTGCACAAATCTACCCTTTTTCTTTATGTTTTTATTAACTGTTTTATTTAAATACCTTTTTCCTCTAGCTCTGTTCGCCTGGGCTTCGGCACTCGGACAATTATCACCCATTGTGACCTCGTACTTCCTGGCAGTAGTAACAAAACCAGGCACCAAATTCTATTAGTGGACAGTCCTTCGCCATATGACCCATTCGGTTGCATCTGTAGCATTTCACTTGTTTCATGTTCTCTTCAGAAGCAGCCCTCTGTACCCTGACTTCGGGTTTCTCTAATTTTTCTCTATTCTCGTTTTTAGTCTCTGCTTCTAACTGCATCATAAAAGACTTTATTTCATCTATGTTCATTTCTCTAAGATTAGTTTGTCTTCTAATTAAATCTACATTCCTCAGCTCTGGTACATTAATTGACACAGCCTGATAAAGTGCAGATCTAATCTCTTGTTCTGCGAGGGGTACCGCATCTTCACATGATTCATATTCTTATTCATATTCTCTAATATATAATTCACATATTTATTCTCTAATATATAATTCACATATTCATATTTTCTAATTATTGAATCAAAGCGTTCACAAAAATCACTTATTTTTTCGTCTTTTCTCATTTTAATTTGATAGAGTTTAGCTCGTACCGATGCATGAGTAACGTTTACTTCACTCTTTTTATATCCTCTCAATTTCTTCAAAATTTCTTTCGGATCTTTTTCATGTAAAATCCTTTTATGATAGTTTTCATCTAAATGATTGATTATTATATCTCTAACTAGACTTTTTCTCTTAGCAACTTTTAGTTCGGAGAGATTTTCTGGACTTTCAATGTTTGAATCTATTACATCTAACAACTCGTTATTCATTAACTCAGATCTTAAATAATCCATCCAAAGATCAAAGTTGGATTTTTGCGTCAGCTTATATTCCCTTCTAATATGCAACCTTTGATTGTTCAATTCCAATTATATAGCTCTTTTCATTGTCTCTAAACTTCTATCTTTTTCGGCTGAACAGACTGTTATTTCATTTAATTTTCTCTTTTTAGACTCTACCTCTAGTTCTTTAACCGTTTGTTTACTGTTTTCTACTAAACTTTGGGTATCTTTATTGCTTACCTCTAAACGTCTAAGTTTAACTTTTTCTTTCTCTAAGTTTAAACGGGAGACTTCCACCATATTCTCCATCATCTCGGTGGCCTTCGTCATTACTTTATCCAGCATCTGCATTGAATTGTCCATTTTTGCGACCAATTTTTCTTGCTTTTCATATAATATTTTGGTTCCAATTGGCAGTACTGGACGGTTCTCTTCCCATGCTTTGGTCACATCTATATTCTCTCTGACTTTAGGCAAGTTCTTTTTCGGGATTGCACCTCTTCTTTCCATCTCCTTTTTATCTTTTGCTTCTATACGGAATTTTGAAATTACTATTTTTATTTTCTCTGAATGCATATATATATTATTCTTCTGGACTACTTTATTTTCAAAAAAAAATACTCTCTTACCTCTATCTTTTCTTACTGTCTCCTCGTTTTTATCTTTTGCTTTTCTATCTATTACCGTGATAAAGCTGCTATCGCTGTCGTAGTCGACCAGCGCATCTTGGCCTTCTTCTTCCATCTATATCGAGATTTAAATATCAATTGAACATTAGCATTCCTCTTTTGACAAGATAAACCAACATTCGTATTGACAAATAATAATTTACAATTTCTATCACTAGATCTCTTTCAGCGATAAAAATTTAATGCTTATGAGGCTATATAGAACGCACTGCAATTCACAATAACCCCAAAGCGAGAAAACCACGCGCCTCTGCAGGTCTATCCGCACGCGTACACCACTGTCCGTTGCGATCCCCAGCACTGCTGAAAAGATCTATGGGAGCTCGGGTTGATCACGCACAGGCACGGGGCCCATACAAATTTACGCGGCTTCCCTAAACAGTAATCAAGCTACACCGCACAGCAAGTCATGCTCAATTACCGACCCGATACATATCGATTTCAAAAAAATAAACTCATATAGAGTCATATAGAGTTTTTATACATACGCATACATATACATGTATCGCAATCTAGCCATCTAGCATACGCATACATTTACATGTATCGTAATCTAGCCATCTAGCATCGATGCCATGTTGTTAGTCGAAATCGATTATGTGTTTGTGCGTGCCCAGCAACAAGTTCTGCGCGCCAAAAAAACAATGACTCTCGCCGTCTACGATCGGACTTCTGCGCGCCAAAAATTCCGCGCGCCAAAATAAATGACTCTCGCCGTTCACGATCGGACTTGCACGCGCACGTCGCCGACTTGCTACCAAGCGGCATTTTTCTATCTCTTTTTCCTTCATCATTCTCTACTTCTTTATTACACTTTACACATCTATTCTCTAATTCTCTTATTACCATTATTACCTCTATTTCTATTTCTCGAGAAAAATGGCAAAAACATCTATCTCCTTGTAACAGTATTTATCGAACGAACATTCTTATTAACTGAGAATTCTCTCGTTTTGCTCGTCAGCAACGAGGAATATTATTTACTCACCCTCTAATCTTCTAGATGCTTCTATCTCTTTCTATGCCCTTCGCCGGCGTCTCACACACTTCGTATATACACTTTCGTGCTATGTTCCTCACGCAGAGGAATCGTGCCCTGGGCCCATAACCTATTGGAAATATAATCAGGGACGACTTGAAATGTGGTGAGATGGGCAGGGTACACAACAATCTTAATCTTTATACACTCTGAATACTGTCTTTATTATATATAATGTTGGGGTAGTTTGTAATACGCGCGCAGACAGAGTGTAGCGCGTAGGTCGTGCGTAGGTAGCGTGCGCGTAGCAAGCGTGTGATTGGATATACGTGAGTGGCGTTGCAGTAAGCTAGAGCACGTGACCACTTCTTGTCGGTTGTTGTACAGAAGAAGTTCGAACACGCTACAGCCCGCTCGAGGACACATTACAGTCCGATATTAAATATACGTAGTTATTATTACAAGTACGGGCAGCATTCAGTTATTTCTCCTGCCTCTATTCCTCCGCCCACGGCCTACATTCGGCCACATATACAACAAATTGGCGACGAGGATTGAAATTCTACGTCGGGGGAAGAGGTAGAACGTGCTGGAATACGATCGTGCCCGTGCGGCAGCCATTAAAAGCCGGGTTCGAGTTCTGTGCGGTCTCTATTTTCTGGTGCAAGTACAATGGCTACAGGGGATGCAGTAGTTATAAAAACAATTCCTACCACGTTGGAGATCGAACGTTTTGATCCATCGAAAGGACCGTGGACACCATGGATATTACAATTTGAAGGGGCCATG